GGTGTGGTGGAGGGCTACATGGAGACAGGATGGTAGTTGGTGGCCTCAGCCTTTGTTCTCAGACCATCATGAAGGACAGAGAAAAGAGAAAGAAAAAGATATGAAGGTGGAAAATGAGAAGTGAATAAACATGGCTTCGTACAGAGGGAGGAGCTGGGTTTCCAGGACCCTGGAACTGTTGTATCACTAATCAGCGAGCTGGACAAGACGCCTTAATGAGCCAGTTAGTTAGAAGTCATCTTTATTGTGCGCAGGTTCGGAGCAGGTTACCCCTGTCAAATTCTGAACACCCAAAAGAGGAAGCATTCTCTTTTTATATTTTTCCAGGTCCTTGTGAAAGCTATTTTTGCAGACAGCTTGTAACCTTGAGTATTTCTCATATCTAGCAAACACCTGTCATATCTATACAGACACCTGTAACCCAGGGTACATATCTATATCATACCTGGCATCAGTATCAGCGTATCGGTCCCTTATGTTAAATTGCTAGCATACAAGTTCAGACAATTAAGTTTATCTTTTCTATTATTCAAACTAAATCAGTTATTTTTACAGAATAAGAGACCATCTAAAAATTATACTGTTGACTTACAGAGCAAGGGACTATCTAAAAATAGCAGAAAATTTCAAACAGCAGTTTTTCCAAAGGAGGGATCATTACTATGCTTCAGAACCTGTGCCTCAGTTTACCCTTCCAGGACTGGGGAGGGGGGATGCTGAGCTTCCACCCACCCACCACTTCAGGACCTCTTCCTGTATCCAAATCCAGGTGACAGACAGAAAGCTGAGCAGGGCAGAGCTGATTTAGTGGGTTTCAGGAATGGCTTGCTCCAGCCCATCAGTGCTGCCTGAGAGTCTGAATATTTCCTAAAAGAACACTGATTGAGCATCAAGCTCCATACTAGGTATGGAACCAGGCTCTCTGCCCTGAGGGCACTCATGGCTTTGGGAGGTGACCCTTTACCCCGTTTTATTCCAGACATTGACGAATGTGAACAACCTGTGAAAGTGACCTGTGGAAAAGATGCCCGCTGCCATAACACGAAGGGAAGCTACTACTGCACATGCAAGCCAGGATACAGGCCTGGTTCTGGGGCAACAAAGTTTAGTAATGCAAGTGAGAACACGTGTCAAGGTAAGAATGTCCTGCATCTTCCATCTCCCCGTCTATGAGGTTTGGAGTCACCAGAGCCATTCCTGCAGCATACAGGGTGCCAGGCCCTGGATGTAGGTGCAGCACCAGGTCTGAACGGGACAAGTGTGCCTGTGCCTATCCCACTAAAACAGAGAGGTGGGGTGGCCTTTGAGCCAGGGCCCAGGTCCTGGTTTTGCACTTTGACAGCTGGGTATGCAACACCAGCCAGGACACTTATTCAGAAACTAGAGGCCCAGTGCATGAATTCATAGGTTTTCTTATGAGTGTTTTGATTTTCGTAGGATATTTTCCTCGAAGTGGGATCACTGGATCAAATGGGAGTTCCATTTTTAGTTTTTTGAGGACACTCCATACTGTTTTCCATAATGGCTGCAGCAGTCTGCATTCCCACAAGCAGTATACTATGGTGCCATTTTTTCCTCATCTTCACCAATACTTGGCATTTGTTGATTTGATAATAGCCATTCTGCCAGGTGTGAGGTGATATCTCATTGTCATTTTGATTAGCATCTCTCTGATGATTAGTGATTTTAAGCATTTTTTCATATGTCCTTTGGATTTCTGTATATCCACTTTAGAGAAGTGTCTATTTAGGCTCTTTGCCCAATTTAATTGGATTGTGTATCTTCCTTTAGTTAAGTTATATGAGTTCTCTATATATTTTGGATATTAACACCTTATCGGATGTGTCATTGGCAAATGTGTTCTCCCATGCAGTGGGCTCTCTTGTTGTTTTGTTGATGGTATCTTTTGCTCTAAAGAAGCTTTGTATTTTGATATAGTCCCATTTGTTTATTTTCTTCTTAGTCTCCATTGTCCTAGAAGATGTATTGGCAAACATATTGCTACAAGAGATATCTGAGATTTTGGCGCCTATAGTTTCTTCTAGGATTTTTATGGTTTCATGACTTCCTCTATTATGACTGTATTGTTAGCAATCTCTCCCTTAAGGTCCTCAGAAGCTTTTTATGCACTTAGGTGCTAACAGGTAACTTCCCTAATCTTGGGTGAGAAAGGTAGGCAATGTGTGCTTTCTGACATTTAGTTTTAGAAAATTGAATATGGACTGAATATCAGATTTCAGAGAGGAAGAGAAGAGAGAGAGATAGAAACATCCATGATGAAAGAGAATTATTGATCGGCTGCCTCCTGTATGCCCCCCACTGGGGATCGAGCCCACAACCCAGGCATGTGCCTTTGGCCCAAATCGAACCTGGGACCCTTCAGTCCACAGAAGGCCAATGCTCTATCCACTGAGCCAAACTGGTTAGGGCCCCACACTATTTATGAAAGAGACAGTCTTTCTTCCATTGTATTTTCTTGCCTCTTCTGTCAAATATTAATTGAGCATAATGGCGTGGGTTGACTTCTGGGTTCTCTGTTCTGTTCCGTTGATCTATATGCCTGTTCTTGTGCCAGGACCAGGCTGTTTTAAGCATGGTGGCTTTGTAGTATAATCTGATATTTGGTCTTGTGATCCCCCAACGTTGTTCTTCCTTCTCAAGATTGCTGCAGCTATTTGGGATCTTTTTGGTTCCATATAAATTTTTGGAGTGTTTGTCCTAGGTCTGTGAAATATGCTGTTGGTATTTTTATAGGCATTGCATTGAATCTATAGATTGCCTTAAGTAGTATGGACATTTTAATGATGTTGATTCTACCAATCTATAAACATGGTAAATTCTTCCACTTGTTTATATCTTTCTCTAGCTCTTTTTTCAACATCCTGTACTTTTCTGAGTACAGTTCTTTTACCTCCTTGGTTAAGTTTATTTCTAAGTATCTTAATATTTTTTTTGCAGTGGTAAATGGGTTTGTTTTTTTAGTTTCTCTTTTTGTGAGTTCATTATTGTTGTATAAAAGTGTCATAGATTTCTGAGTGTTAATTTTGTTTTGTTGAGGATTTTAGCCTCTATGTTCATCAGTAATATTAGCCTGTAATTCTCTTTGTAGTGTCTTTATCTGGTTTTGGCATTAGGATAATGTTAGCCTCATAGAAAGAGCTTAGAAATGTTTCTTCCTGTTGGATTTTTTGGAATAGTTTGAGGAGGATAGGTGTTATTTCTGCTTTGAACACTGGGAAAACTCCCTTTTAAAACTATTTAGACTAGCACTTTTGATTGCTGGAAGTTTTTATTGTTATTATTATTTCTGCTTTAATTTCAGCAGTAGTTATCAACCTATTAAGGTTTTCTGATTATTCCTGATTCAGTTTTGGAAGGTTGTATTTTTTCTAGAAATACAGTAGGTCCTTGACTTACAAGTTTAATTCGTTCCGTGTTGGGAGTCATAATTCAAATTACTGGTATGTCAAATCAAAAAGTGAACGAGTGAGACACATGATGCTGGGCTGATGTTGTGGTGTTCATTGTGATGTTTGCTGCACCAACCAACGGTGGGGTATCTGAAGCTAACTTGTAACCTTAATTTTAGCTCACATCTCAAAGCAAAAATTCGACTGAGAGATGCCTCGTATCTCAAAAAACTCATTAGTTAGGACACTCGTAAGTCAAGGCCCCACTGTATGTCCATTTCTTCTAGGTTGTCCAGTTAGTTGAAATAAAGTCATTCATAGTGTTTTGTTTTGTTTTGTTTTACAACCCTATGTATTTTTGTGGGGTCAGTTGTTTCTTCACCTTTTTCATTTCTGATTTTCGGTCCTCTCTTTTTGTTTCCTGGTGAGTCTGGCTAGAGGTTCATTAATCTTGTTTTTCCTTTCAAAGATCCAGCTTATGGTTTTATTGATCTTTTGTATTTTGTTTGTTTGTTTGTTTTACTCTATGTCATTTATTTCCTACTTTCTACTTACTCTCAACTTTTCTTGTTGTTCTTTTTCTAATTCTTTAAGTTGTAGTGTTAGATAACTTATTATGAGCTTTTCTTCTTTTTGAGGTAGACCTGTAGTGCTATGAACTTTCCTCTCAGTACTTCTTTCACTCTTCCCCATAGATTTTGAATTGTTGTGTGTTCATCTTCATTTGTTTCCAGGATATCTTTTAATTTCTTCTTTGGTAACCAATTCATTGTTTAATAGCATGCTATGTAGCCTGCATGTGTTTGATTATTTTTGAGTGCTTTTCTGGTAGCTGATCTAATTTCATGTCATTGTGGTTTGAGAAGTTGCTTGATATGATTTTAATCTTCTTGAATTTGTAGAGACTTAGCTTGTGTCCTAACATGTGGTCTACCTTTGAAAATGTCCCTTGTTGCACTTGGGAAGAATGTATATGCAGTAGCTTTGGGGTGGAATGTTCTGTAGATGTCAATTAGTTTCATCTGATCGAGCGTGTAACTTAGGATAGCTCTTTCATTGTTGATTTTTTTGCCTAGAAGATTTATCAAGTTTTGTCAGTGGGATATTAAAGTTCCCTACTATGATTGTATTGCTGTGATCTCTCCCTTGATATCCTCCAGAAGTATTTTTTATATATTTGGATGTTCCTGTATTGAGTATATATATGTTTACCAGAGTTATATCCTCTTGTTGTATCGATCCTTTTAGTACTATGAGGTGGCTGTCCTTATCTCTTGTGATGGGCTTCACTTTGAGGTCTCTTTTGTCAGATATAAGTATTGCTACCCCAGCTTTCTTTTCATTTCCATTTGCCTGAAAAATACTTTTCCATCCCTTCACTTTCAGATTTCATGAATCCTTTGTTCTGAGGTGAGTCTCTTGTAAACAGCGTATATATGGGTCATGTTTTCTTATCTATTCAGCTACCCTTGCCTTCTGATTGGGGCATTTAATCCATTTCCAGTTAAGGTTATTATTGATAGGTACTCGTTTTTTGCCATTTTTATTCTTTATGCCTGTGTTCCTCCCTCCCTTTCTATTTCTTCTTTTTACAACAGTCCCTTTAGTATTGTGTCCATTGCTAGTTTGGTGGTAATAAACTCCTTTAGCCTTTTTTGTCTGTGAAGCTCCTGACTTCACCTTCAATTTTGAATGATAGCCTTGCTGATAGAGTGCTGTTGGATTCAGTACCTTGGTTTTTATCACTTAGTATACTTCATGCCACTACCTTCTGGCCTGATGTGTTTCTATTGAGAAATCCACTGATAGTCTAATGGGAGATCCCTTGTAGGTAACTTTCTATTTCTCTCTTGCAGTCTTTAAGATTCTTTCTCTGTGTTTTATATTTGCCCACTTAATTATGATGTGTCTTGGTGTAGGTCATTTTGGGTTCATTTTGATTGGCACTCTCTGTGTTTCTTGGACTTCTGTGGCTTTTTTTCCCCAAGTAAGAGATGTTTTCTGTCATTATTTCTTCAAACAGGTTTTCTATTTCATACTCAGCTTCCTCTCCTTTTGGCACCCCTATTATGCAGATGTTCTTGTTTTTTCATGTTGTCCCAAAGCTTGCTTAAAGTCTCCTGCTTTTTAGTGTAGTTTTTTTTTCCAGTTGCTGCTCTGCTTGGGTGTTTTTTTCTACCTTGTCTTCTAACTCACTGATTCTGTCCACAGCTTCTTCTAGTCCACAGTTGAAACCTCCAGGGTGTTCTTTGTTGCACTATGTCATTTTTCATTTTCTTTTAATTCTTACTCATGTTGATGTATTTCTCATTCAGCTCCTTATACTTCTCATTGAGTTGCTAGTAATTCTCATTCAGATAATTGAGCATCCTTATAAACATTACTTTGAATTCCTTATCTGACAAATTACTTGCCTCCATTTAATTTACCTTGTCTTGCATTGCAATGGCTAATACTTCCAGTACTATGTTGAACAGGAGACGTGAGAGTGGGCATCCCTGTCTTGTTCCTATTCTTAGGGGAAATGAGTTTAGTTTTTGGCCATTGAGTATGATGTTGGCTGTAGGTTTGTCATATTAGGCTTTTATTATATTGATGTTTGACCCCTTTATTCCCACTTTGCTGAGAGTTTTTATCAAGAAATGAT